TTTTAAGAAGAAAAATAAAGTCATCTCAAATAAAACATAAATTTTCTTTTTTCCTATCAATTTATCTATTATATTTTCCTTATATATATAAAACGCCTAAATTCATCATCGGGTTAGGCATCTTTTTTTTTTTTTTTTTTTCAAAGAACTGTCTCACTAGTGGGCAATGCATAGTGCACTTTTCGCATTAAGAAAGTTAGAAATGTTAAATTGGTTGGGAGTTCACAGAGACTTTTCTAAACTCTTCTTCTCATTAGAAGACTTGAAGACTCTTTTATGGGATCGATTTGCTCTCCCAAATCTCCTCGCCGTCGATTTGATCCAGCCGAGTCGAGCACTCCCTTACCTCCCGGTATCGGGGAGGGGATGTCTGGAGGTTGTCGAAATTTTCTCAAAAACTCAGGACATAGAAAATTTTTGGACTTATACGAATTTTTGTGAAAAGTTGAGAACTCTCAATTAAGCAAAAATAACTAAATTAGTAATGATTTATACATATCATTTGATCAAGCAATTGAATTATTCAATCAGCAGATTACACATATTAGAAGATTCGAAGACTCCTTTGGGATCAATTCGCTCTCTCAAATCTCCTCACCGTCAATTTGATCCGGTCGAGTTGAGCACTCCCTTACCTCCTGGCATCGGGGAGGGGACGCCGGGAGGTTGCCAAAATTTTCTCAAAATTCGTGGACTTTCGTAGGCCCTTAAATGAAATCATGGGCCATTGTTAAATGAAATCACTTTATTAAATGGATCATATTTAAATATTTTAAAATGCCCCTTATATGATCCCCTAAACTAAAACATACCTTGCATGTGCTCCGGTCAATGCATTAAAGTTACAAACATCAATGACCGAGAATGCTGCGCAGGGTCAAATGCTACAACCTGCATGTGCTCCAATCGTTACATCTAAGTCTCAAATCTAACGATTCGAGAATGCTGCGCGGGCTAAATATTCAAGCTTCATACTCCTCCTTGAAATGACTGGAGTTGACATGACTTGAAATAACAAAATACCTCCTAAAATTCTACAAAAATACATATGATCTTAATCGCCACCCCGATGATGGCCGTGTTGATCGAAAATTTCAACCGGAGGGGTCAAATCTCAAATCAATCAACAATTCAAATTATTGAAATGAAATATATCACCTTAAAATTAAAATTAAAAATCATCCACCTCCCGCAACCGTTTGTTGGGGGCGATAAATTTAAAATTTACCTTAGCTCACAAAGAGTGAATGCATGTCGGGTGTATCACTTTGATTTATCCTCAAATAGTCTCTTGCCAACAGGCACGTGGCACGTGCTCTCAGATCGGGTGATTTTGCCGCAAAATATCACCATTATATTACGATCACGGTCAAAGCCCGTATGTTCCCTAAATGCGTCAAACCCTCGAGTTATGAATCATAGGGTATATTTGATAGGCATAAAGCCCTCTATAAGCTAAGGTGGATTCAGATATATCTCCTTAGACAAACATCAACCCAGGTCTACAAGGTATTCTTGAACGAAGCAACCCATGGTTGCCGACAAGGTGCCTTCTATCAGGTTGGGTCGACTACCTCCTCTGACTAAGTAGACTAGGGATCATGATAGCCCGGGACGACGGAACCATGGGATCTTGATCGGGCTCGTCTTCATTCCCCCCACCACTAGTTTTAAGTTTATGGCGACAAACTCTAAATTCCAAATTTCAAAATTTAAATCCAAAGTTCAAACGCTAAAATTATTGCTATTATACGCTGGATTTACAACCTATGTAATCCCTTTAATGACTAGCCTTAATCGAAAGTTCTCTCTTATGATCGGGAGGGGTAATTAACTATAGGGGCTTGCGCCTATAGAAAACCAGAACTCAAATTAAAAACTCCTCACGAAATGAGGTCGAAATCTCTGGGTAGTGTCTTATCTAAAATCCAATATGTCTTCTGAAAATTCCCCCGGAACCTAATCTTGTTAAAACTCTTTGTCATCATCGTCACACAAACACTCAAATGAAAAATAGACCGATGGTACAGAGAGGCCAGGACACAATCTATAAATGGAATTTTTCGGAGCCCACACAATAACACTATAAAAATGCATATACACTATAAAACTCTTGTAGATAATGAAAAGTGTAAGTAGTAACAGAAGGAAACAAAAGGAAAATAGTAACAAAACATACCACTTCCTAGGGATATAGAGATCCACCTGTTGTCCCTCTTCATTCTACATTTTGTCGCCGAGCAAAGTGAAGAATTACCTCAGACCTTAACAATAAAACAACCAACTTATACTCAATAAAGAAAGGAGTCAACCCCTCAAAAACAACAAGTAATCAAGCCCCAAAAAATACGAAAAAATTATAAACAGAATAAAATGGATTTGAAGATGAGAATGAAACCTTAGATCAAAACAGAGATCTAATAATCTTTGTGAAATCAAAAGATATAGGGAAATATATAAAATCGAGCAATGGAAAGAAAAGAAATAATGAATTTGCCAGAATGGAAGCCTATGCGATGGCAGTGCGAAAGGGGAGTTGAGATGAACGTCAGAGGGTACATTTTATAGCAGAAAAACCCTAGGAGCTTTTTTTTTTTTCATAAAAACATAATAAAAATTATTACCACTTTTCATTATCAAACATACCCAAAAGTCTAAACTAATACACAATATCCATACCATAAAATCAATAGAGACAACATGTGGGTGGACATGCACGATGTACACAAACTAAGAAGGGAAAACAATTACCGAGATTGAGCGGAGAAGCACACGGAGCATAACTTCTATCTTATGCAACTATTCGTTGGAGAAAACCGGCCGACAGGTTTGAGCAAAGTCACGAACGGCTCGGGACGGAGAGCCTGGAGAGGAAGGAACAAATCGTCTTATGGGAGGGAATTCACGTTTGTTTCGCCTCTTAGGGCACTCCATTCAAAATTTCATCATTTTATGTTCATCGGATGATTGTGATTCAAGCAATATAAGAACCAGGCGGTTCTTCTAAAATCCGCCGATTCAGCGGTTATTTGATTCAACTAGAAAAAAATCGGTTTTTCCCCGGTTTTGGTGTTGAATAGTTTTAATTAAGGAATCAGACCAGCCGCCGGACTGGTCACTAGTTTAACTGGCCGATTCGGTCCCATTTTTAAAACTTTGGTTTGAATGCAAGTAACAGCTTCTGCATATATATCCTTAATTTCTTGAATATAAGCATTATTACCCCTTTTTTTCTAGAACTCTCCATAGCACTTCTCTTGAAACTATGATATGCTTTTTCTATATCATTATCTGAAAAATTAGATAGTGTCATATTTTCTTCTTATAATTCAGAGTGTCACATCCAATTTGTCATTCATAATTCACTCATCATTTGATGTTATATCCTCACAAAGTAAAGGATTGTTGTCATTCTTCAACCATTCTTTTAAGTATTTATCCTTCAATATTTTTTTGCACATGATGTACGCTAAGGAATTCATATTTAAGATTGACAGATATTTTATCCTCTTCATGTGCACTTGATTACACATGTTCCGATTGCATGTACATCCATATAAAGAACATGTTTATCTCAAACCTAACAACAAGTTTTATATTTATGGAGTGTCATTATCAATTGTATCCACCACTCACATGAGGTATAAGTAAATGAGTATAATAAGTTGAACTGTAAAATGAATCGTTTTGGCATACAATTTTTTTTCCAACACAGTAATAATTCAAATTACTTGGAGATTGTTTTGAAATTGTCTTTTTTTCTACTGTAGTCCAAAGGCCTTCTTTAATCCTGATGGTATCAATTGCATGTCAGCATTTGCTTTCTTATATGAATGAGCTATAAGCCTATCTATACTGTTGTATAATCTCAATTTTATTTCAAAGTTTATTGACTTATTTTCTGCTTATTGAAATTGAGGAATCAAATTATAGCATGTTGCATCTAAAATGAATATGAAGCCTTAGTTCCTACTTTTTATCAATAATATCCTAATTTTTCCTATAGCCAACCTTCGCCTCATAAGTTATGGTCAACCAACTCATTCGCTTCATCCACTTTACCTTATTTATCACTAAATTAAAATATTTGTTTTAAAATTTGTTCAGTGTTTTTATGGTTTTTAAATTTATTTTTTATAAAATGCTTTATCGGTGTGTGCTTTTATTTCCATTATCTGACTTCTATTTTTTTGAAGGAGCTCAAATGTTATGCAATGTAATTTTAGCTTTTTAAATAAATGGTTACTTTAAACATGAATAAAAATCTCTTTGCTCTTGTAGGTAGTTAAACTGAAGCCTCTCTGAGCATTAAATATCTCAGGACTAATTCCAAAATTGATATTTGTAATATTTATCCAAACTGTTTCTCTAATGGCATTGTGATGAAGCTTTATTTACATGATTTATCTTTGCAATATATTATGCATGTATAAATTTGGACCTAGAAAGTATTTTTAAAAATCTAATAACTCCGTATTGTAGGAGTTTTGTCTTGCAGTATTAGGCACAAAATTAAGAGAAATAAAGAATTACAACAATTTGAAAAGAAAGTAAAGCTAGGATTTTCTACACTAATTGAAATACTTATTGTAAATAACTTTAACTCTGTCAGTATCATTTCTATCCATTGTTGTAACTTATTCAAATCAAAGTGGATATGAATTTATTTCAGAATCCATATGGAAGTTAGCATTTCTTTGTTATTTATTATTTGTTAACAATATTTTTGAAATTCAATTTGGCAGCGTGATCTTATTTCCAATAGCTGTCACTTTCTTTATCACCTGGTGGTTTATTCATTTTGTGGATGGATTCTTCTCGCCTATATATGCTCAACTTGGGATCAACATTTTCGGTAAGCATATCATTCTCTAAATAACTTGTTGCGCTAAAATATTGTTATTTTATCTTATATTCTTAATTCTTCAGATATAAATTCCTTCGATTTGGTGGTTTCAGTCGATTCTTTGAAAGCCTTTATCATTACCCAAAAGTCATCTAGAGGCTCTTATGATATAATTTTAAGGTTTTTCTACTTCTCAGACTTGTCTGCTTCCGGACTCTGCTGCGTAGTGTTTTTGCCATTCTGTATTGGTGTGACTAGACAAGTACTTGTTGGATGTAGCTTCTCAGGCTTGCCACCCATTGTTCTTTTTTGCAAATGCGCTTACATGTTCGGATGAAATAGTTGCTTCTCTTTCTCTTGTTCTTTTATCACTTCTAAGAAATTTTCTTTTCATTAGGTTGCTATTTCATGCAAATGCACATGCCTATTCTGTTGGCCAGGATATTAATTTTGACCTTGTTTGTTCGAATACAAAATTTAATCTGTATTATTTTCATTGTAGGACTTGGTTTCGTAACTTCCATAGCATTCATTTTCTTGGTTGGAGTATTCATGTCGTCATGGTTGGGAACTTCTGTACTTGGTCTTGGGGAGTGGTTTATCAAGAGGATGCCGTTTGTCCGTCATATCTACAATGCATCCAAGCAAATTAGTGCTGCAATATCTCCTGGTAATTTTAGTTCAGATATGCAAAATTTTCTATTGTGCATGCCTTTTGCTAACTCTACAGATGCAGATCAGAACACACAAGCCTTTAAGGAAGTGGTCATATTGAGACACCCAAGAATTGGTGAATATGCTTTTGGTTTCATAACTTCGACGGTTACTCTTCAGGTATGTAACCAGAATATTTATGCATTTCCTTGATGAAACATCTTATTTCAATTCAATCTTTGTCCATTTGTTTTCTGCATGTACTCTATGAAGTGGGTCTTTTGTTTTGCCCTTATTTTCTCGGAAGTTGAAGTCATTAGCACACTCTTTATATTAAGAAATTCACCTTTGTGTGTTCTCATCTCCCCCATCATCGGGCATTGATGCAATGGCTGACTTTTTTGGCCACCACCATCATTTAACTTTATACTTCATTCATTTTACTTCAAGCCAAACAAATAATAATAATCACTTTCTTTCCTTTTAAATTCATCCAAATAACTTCAAACATTTTAAATACATTATATTTCTTTTACTCTACATTATTTTTTCAACAAATCAAATAGCCTCTAAAGGAGTTATATGTCACCAAATCATGCTTCCTGGGTGATCCTTATTTATTTTGGTGCAGTTAGATTTATTTTATATTTAATTTTTTTTTGCTTTTATATATCATATGACTCATATTTTATAAATAAGAGGCATTTAGGATGTTGAATTTAGTCTTCAAGCAATACAATAATTCCTGTCCTTATTTTCTCCATTATTTGTAGCCAAAGGTGATCCTCTCTCTATTAGTTTTTTTTTTTGTGAGATGCCTAAATGAGTTATTATCTCACCAAATCATGCCTCTGGGTGATTCACATAAATCCCTAGACATCTTGGTTCTTCCTTTCCTCAATCAGCTAGGCTCAGTTCTGAATGTAGGCCAATTAATCCTATTGCTTTTTTGTCAAGATATTTACTCTCTCTTAGCCGTGAGGTACATTGCATGCACGGGAAGAGACCTTAATTAAGGTTTGAGGTAGCCATCCTGCGCGTAAAAATCTTTCTACCTCTTTCAATTCCTCGTTAACTTCCACAGGGCTACTGCAATCTTTTTAAAATGCATCGTACTTGACTATTTTTTGCGGGTTTTGATAAGTTAATTTATCATTATTCTTTTAGGCTTCATTTGGGATGATTTTCTTATTGTTTCTTAAAGTAATTTTTATTTAAAAAAAATTTTAAACTAAAATTTCTTGTATTAGAAATATGCTTTTAAAAAAACAATAAGAAAGTCGTCGCAAATGAAGCCTTAGTCATATTTTTCCCTTTTATGTGCATCATGCTCTTGCTTGCTACCTAAATACTGATTCCATATTACACCACTTATTAGCAGAGTGGTTCTGGTGAAGAGGAACTTTTCTGCGTTTATGTTCCCACGAATCATCTCTATATTGGCGACATATTTATGGTAAACTCACGTGATGTCATTAGACCCAATCTATCTGTCCGTGAAGGAATTGGTAACCTTCTGATTACATCTTAGGCCTTTTTATCACTAGTGAAAAATTCAAAGTTTAACAATGCATTCTGTTGCATTTCTACAGAAATTGTTGTCTCTGGTGGCATGTCGATGCCCCAAATCCTCTCAACTCTGGAACCGCAGACGAGCCTTCGTGGATAGAAACTGATCATTTCGAAGCTAAGTCATTTAATTAGTACTCGATTTTCCATGAATTTAGCTCTGTTGGATTGTTGGAGCTGCCGTAGCTCTTTGTATAGGCCTTGCATTTGACTGTTGAACTTGTATAATTTTTCCTCTTAGGTCTGTAAAATATAGTAGATGACGGCGTTGATGGCTAATATTATTTTGAATCTTTTGATGCCTTATTTTCGTTTTCTTTGCATTTAAATGGTGCTTTCTTTCCTTACTATTTGGTGGAAGTCCCAGGAGTCTCTGTAATCTCATTAAACTTCTCACATCTTTTTGGCTTTTTGAATTCTTTGCCGAGACTCCAAGGCTACTAGGATGTTTCCAATCCAATTCAAGCTTGCCTAGAAAAACAGGAGTGATTATTGCGTCCGGACACCGAATTTGTCTAGAGACCAATAAAAAAACGCCACATTTCTGGGCGCTCAGTACCGACCGTGGTACCACATGGTATGCTGTTCGGACAGATTACTTTTTCGAAAAACAGAGTATATGTTTTGGTACATTTTTTGGTCAAATTAGTAATATGCATCTTTGGGTGGAGAGAGAGAGAGAGAGAGAGAGAGATAATGGAAGATGGCTTGCAGTGCACTTCAAGTGCATGCCTGCATGTGGAGGGGAGGTCATCTAAGAACAAAAATAGTGTAGCACAAGCTGTCAACATTATTAGTACCACTATTGAACGGCTATAAAAGGAGAATCGTAGAGCCCCCAATGTCAGCGTACAGAGAAGAGGAATAATTGAACTGCCATGGAAATGACCTATCTGATCAAGAACCCAACTCCATGGCTGGTTCTTCTTTGTATTTTTTCTGTTTTCACCCTTGCAGTTCTCCCCACCACGTCTCATTGCCTGGACATGCATAATCCCAGTGACATTGTCCTGAACGTCTCAAAGGCAGAGAGGGACACAACAGTTCATGATGGAGGACAAAAGGGTGGTGGTGGCGGCGGCGGCGGTGGAGGTGGAGGGTTTGGCTGGGGATGGGGAAGCGGTGGAGGCGGTGGAGGTGGCGGCGGCAATGGCCGTGGGGGCGGCGGAGGTGGTGGTAGTATGGGAGGTGGGGGCAGCGGCGGAAATGGTGGTGGTGGTGGCGGCGGTGGTGGGGGAGACGGGAGTGGTAGTGGTGGGGGTGGAAATGGAGGTGGTGGAGGTGGTGGGGGTGGAAATGGAGGTGGTGGAGGTGGCAGAGATCACCAAAGCACTAAAGGAAGCACAAATAGAGGCCGGGGACGTAGGGGTTGCCATCATGGTGGACACGGTAATGGTGGAGGCCGCGGAGATGGCAAAGGACGAAAGAGTTGAACATACAACTAGTTATTTAGCCCATGATTTGGAAGAGATGCTTAACCATGGGAAGGGTTGTTCAACTTCAGCTTTCTGAGTGTTTTGTTGCACAATAACAAGGATTCTAAAGCTAGTATATTATCTACCATATATCTACATGATCATTGATAGCGGTAAGGTATATGGTATCAAGCATTGCTTAAGGTCATTGATAAATTCTTTTGTTATTTTATTCTTGATTTTTTTTTTTGTTTTTTTGAGACATTTGAGTCATTAAGGTAAATTTACACATTAAATACTTAAATTTTGAAGTTAAGATCTCTTGATTAGTAGTTAAAGCTCTCAATCAATAGGTCAAGATGAGCTATATAGGGATTCATTATTAATAAAAGAAATATTCTGACAAATTTTGAATAATTACTAAAAAATTTCTATAAAGTTCTATTATCAAAATTATGATTATGCTTAAAATAATTACATCCATTTTTCCAATAAGAATTAATTAAAAAAGGATTTTTAAGCATTATAATTACTTCTTTAGCCTTAGAGCATTCCATTAATGTCATCTGACCCTTTTAAGCCAACTGACCTTCATACTCTTTCGCTCTCTATATGAAAGGCATGCATGAAATCAACTTTGATTTTTTTTTTTTTTTGCGGAGAGAACATTTATATTTCTTCTTTATTCATAAGCATGAAGGGTATATTGAACTTTTGAAAAATATAGCTTAGAGCTCTAGACTTAGTGCATTTGAAAAATATACCCAGGTTGATCCAATTAGTCCTAATGAGGCCAAATCAATTTCAAATCAATTCAAACTCATCTTAGGCTCAAAACCTCCATTCCTTAAACTCATTTGACCAAGTTGACCAGGTCAACTCTTGGCTTGGTCAACCCAAGCCTTAGTTGGTCAAACCTAGGTTTAATTTGGTCAAAATCTCCCCTTTAATGGATTAAAACCATTCCTATTGAGCTCCCTATTCAAACCACGGCCAATTGATACCCTTTTCTCTCCTAATTCATTAGAGATTCAGTCTAGGCGGTTGATCATGAGTTTAGGGCTTTAAATTGATGAATTAGGGATTCATATGGAGGACTTTTGCTTTTTCTCTCACCCTAGTCTCTCCCAATTCGAGAAATTTCGCCTGTGAGCTCCCTTGATCCCTCTCGATCTTCCCCAAGCCAAACCCGATCTGTCAAAGCCGTCGGCGGCGAGATCTCCGGCGACCCGATACCCTAAGCATTCCAATGCTATTTCCCATCAATCCAAGGCATGTCATGGCTCGACTTCAACTAGAGAATTGTATGATGACATTCTACAAGTTCAACCATCCCTCTTACTGTTCATTTTGTCTATTAAATCAATGTAAGACCCTAACCCTAGGTTAGACCAAATAGAGTAAAATAACTTTCAATATTTCACGTTTTAGAAAATTCTAGAACCTCCCCATGATCTCTGTTCACGAGTAGAGTTTAGGTTTCAAATTTCTGCGAAATTGATCGATCTGATCGACTGAATGAGCCCAAAAACCCTATATAGGGTTCGGTTTACGTAACATACGCGTTATGTATGATCTGAGTCGTTGATTTTACGATCAACGGCTCGCATCTCACCATTCTGCGGCTTCCATTCGACCGCGGACTCAATCCTGCGGTCATCGCTCTCGTCCAACGTGATCCCGTCCGTTGATTTGAACCAAGGAGGATCCGATGGCCAGGAGCTTGCACTGACGCGGATAAGTCTCGCATGATTTTTCGCGCAATCATTGCTAATGATTGTAAATCGCTTCCATGATTTCGGGACCCAACCGAAGCGCGACGCGAGGCCACTGCCACTGATTTTAATTAAAATAAGTTTTTGTTTTATTTTAAAACCCTTTTTAAAATAAAAAACTTCTAAAATTAATTTAAAAATTAATTTTAATTCAAAAAATTACATGTTATAAATCAATATTTTTAGGAAAATATTCCTTTAATTTGAACTTATTTTTAATTTAAAATATTATATATATTTAAATTATTTTTAAATACTAAATATTTAGTACTTCTTTTATTAATGATTAATTAAAAATATATAAACATATTTTAAAAAAAACCCCTAAGTGTCCTAAAACTAGTGTTAGGTACTCCCAATCCACCGTGATTCAGGAAATCTTGGTCGTTTGGACTTCGGGGGATCCTCTAGAACCAAGCTCCTTTTTAACTCCAGAACTCCCGAAACCGGCTGATCGGACGGATTCGTCGGGGAAGGTCCAAAGGCCCTGGTCTCGCCGGGGATCTCGCCCGGCCGGCCGAACTTCCTGGCCTGCTGGATTTGTCGGAAGGGTGTGGGAAGTCGTGGAATGCTCACCCAAAATCTCGAAAACCGTCAAAGGTGTCTCGGAGACGAAGTGATGAGCCAAAAAAAAAGCTGGCCTCCTCATTGACCTAATTTCCCTATTTTTTAAATCTCTAAACTCTTAAGATCAAGACGGCCTAGATCTAATCCAAAATTGAATTAGGAGGGAAAATTAGAGGCGGATTGAACCCTGGTTATTAATTCAAAACGGTGGGGAGGAGTTTATGGCATTAATTAGGCCTTAAATGGCCTTAAATAAGCGTTCATTACAAACCTATTAAAGGCTTGATTTGACCAAGTCAACCTTTATGACTTGTCAAACCAGTCAATTAGCTAGTGAAGAAGAAGGTTTGAGGCCTTGGAGTGTTTTAGAATTTATTTGGCTCAAAAAGGCCTGTAATGCGTCAAAAATTGACCCAATAAGCCTTGGGTGACCAAGTCCAACAGTTGACCTGGTCCAAACCAGTCCTCACGGCCCATGTTTGATAAAATCAATGTCCAACACCATCTTAAAGAAAATATCATTTAATTTTAAAAACTTAATTAGTTTTTCCCTCTTTATTCAGTGCTGCTTTGAGGCACGATGTCTACCACTCTGCCAGAACGATGCCCATTGACTAGTAGCAAAGTGTTGCTGAACTGATTTCAATAAATATACATTTTGGATAGTATCAAAACTATTACTGAATACTTCTTTTTTCTATGACTGTCCTTACCTACTAACATTTCAGACCACCCAGGTTCGTAGTGCAAAACCAAGCCAGCTTAGGAGTTGGGATAGACTGAGGGTGAGTGCACTTTGTAAGGGTTTTTACCTTTTCTTGGAGCTCGATTGTATAAAGTGTGTCCTAGTGCTCTTGGAAAATATTCTAGTTCTATTATGATTGTAGTTTTCTATTTTTTATCACATCATTCGGGACACGCCTTGATACAAAAAAAATAGTACTAAGCACGATTTAGATTAAGAAATTAAATCATGAGCACTAGTCAATGCCCATCCGTGGTATAGAGGCAACTGTAATTTAAGCAAAATCCATCCTAGATGATAATTATCATCGTCTGAGATGTAGAAAAATTTCAGAAAAAATTCAGCCAACATTGATTCTTTTAGATGTTGATTTTGGACCGATTCGCATCGAGACACATCATCTTGCATGTACAGATGCTACTATATTATGCTTATCAAACTTTAGTCTCTGGTACAATTAAGTGCTTTGAGTGCCCCTCGATCATATCGTGCGACCAACCTGTCAGGCTACAAAGTCCTCCCTATATCATGGATATCCTATCACACAAACATCATCATATACAAAGCAATAAAAGAGGGTCCAGTAATAAACATAAAACCATCATAAACAATCACAAATATAAAGCCAATACCCATCAACTCCACACGGCTACAACATATAGTGTTCCACTACACCAGAAAATAAAAAACGGCAAAACATCCTGCGCCTCCTAACCTGGAGCTAGAAGCTAGTGCCCCCTAGCATATCTATCGTATTACGGGTACGTAGGCTTGTGACTTTGAGATAGTTCCCTATGTACGGATAATTA